AGCTCAGTGTTGGCTTGGTGTCCAGGCATAGTGGGGGGTGGAAGGGTCACAGCTCAGAGTTGGCTTGGTGTCCAGGCATTGTTGGGGGGTGGAAGGGTCACAGCTCAGAGTTGGCTTGGTGTCCAGGCATTGTTGGGGGGTGGAAGGGTCACAGCTCAGAGTTGGCTTGGTGTCCAGGCATTGTTGGGGGGTGGAAGGGTCACAGCTCAGAGTTGGCTTGGTGTCCAGGCATTGTTGGGGGGTGGAAGGGTCACAGCTCAGAGTTGGCTTGGTGTCCAGGCATTTTTGGGGGTGGTGGGGGGGAAGGGTCACAGCTGAGAGTTGGCTTGGTGTCCAGGCATAGTTGGGGGTGGCGGGGGGGAAGGGTCACAGCTGAGAGTTGGCTTGGTGTCCAGGCATAGTTGGGGGTGGCGGGGGGGAAGGGTCACAGCTGAGAGTTGGCTTGGTGTCCAGGCATAGTTGGGGGTGGAAGGGTCACAGCTGAGAGTTGGCTTTAGTTCCCAGTCGTAGGTGATTCGAATTCTTTGTTGGGATAGTCTGAGATTGTAATTTGTTATCCTGTCCTTGTCTCAATCCTCAGCACCTGGCTGCCGTAGAGGAGCGGAAGATCAAGTCACTGGTGGCTCTGCTGGTGGAAACGCAGATGAAGAAACTGGAGATTAAACTGCGGCATTTTGAAGAGCTGGAAACCATCATGGACAGAGAAAAGGAAGCGGTAAGGTGACCACCGGGAGCAATGCCTCCTGCAGAGCATGCTGTGAGTTCTGAGTCCTCCATCTTTTTCTGCGGCCGCTGTAATGAATGAACAGGAAGCTTCTATGCTGAGTGCTCCTGTCCATTCATAAACTGTATATCGTATGAATTACTTTGTCCTCAATCATGATTGAACAGGAAGTGTTGTAGAGCACTTCCTGGTCATTCATAAATGGGGACACAGTAAGCATACGATGTCCTCGGGTATGTAGAAACACTCGCTTGTAACCCGCTCTCCATCCTGACTTGCCTGTCACAGGAGGTTGTGTGGGGTGGGAGGAAAGCTCGACCT